GCCCATGCTGGCATCGGCCGAGCCGCGATGAGGGCGCCGGCGCTGCTGACCTGCTGTGGCTGGCTGCTCGCCCCAGTGAGTGCGTCCTGCGACCCCCGCGCTCCCTCCACCCCGACACGCGTCCTCCCTCCGGGGAGAGGAGCGCGGCTCGCGCCGGCTGCGCTTCCTCCCGCGTCCAGGCGCGGGGCTCGGGGCGGGCCCGGGGACCCTCGCCCGCCGGAGTCGGGGGCCCGGGGTCGGGAACGGGGTCGGGAACGGGGTCCGGAACGGGGTCCCGTCTGGGGAGCGGGTCACAGCTAGGACTCGGCAGGGAGCATGCGTTTGTCGGCTCCGTCTGCCTCCCTGGATCTGCTAGAAGCAGGATCCAGTTTCCTCCAAGACGCCGGGCAAAGAGGAGCTGGTTTCGGCCGCCTCTTGCCCGAGGCGTGAGGCTGGCCGCGCCTGGCCGTCGCGGCGCCCGAGACACACGGGGGTCAGGGCTGAGCCAGCTGCGCGGGCTTCGCATTGGAGTTTGCCTTGTCGCTGAATACTTCTTCCACTTCCTGGTACTTGTCCCTGGTTTGTATTTGCTTGAGTGCGTTTCGGAGGGAGACGGTGTGGCTGAAGAAAGTTTCCTTCCGGAAATACTCTGGTTCCTTCGCCCTTGTTGGAGAGCAGTGGAACAAAGAACACTCAACAGTGGCTTGTTGAAGGGCTGCATGACTGGATTCTCGAATTCTCAGGAATTCTTCCTTGTGCTCGAAGGAAATTGTCAACCCGGTTGCTTGCCTTCCTCCCACGCCGAAGCCGGGCTTGCTCGTTTGTCCGAATCGCAGCCGCATCACCGGCCGCCGCGACTCAGCCCCTCTGAGGTTGTGAAGCGAAGGGCAGAGCTGTGTAGGGAGGTTGTCATTGCTGAGCGTATCTCGTTATTTAGGGCTTGCCTGGTATGAAGGCTACCAGGTCTGTCCTCCCTCGGAGGAATGGAGGTTTAAGAAGACCCTTGTTGGGCATCTGGGTGGCTCAGTTGGTTGGGCGGCTGCCTTCGGCTCGGGTCGTGGTCCTGGAGTCCCGGGATCGAGTCCCGCATCGGGCTCCCTGCTCGGCAGGGAGTCTGCTTCTCCCTCTGGCCCTCCCCCCTCTCATGCTATCCTTCTCTCTCCCTCTCAATA